CCCCCACAGACATACACAGTGCGGTTAGTCTGCAGGACCGTGGTGGCCTGCGTGTCCCTACGGTGCGGTCAGTCTGCAGGACCGTGGTGGCCTGCGTGTCCCTACGGTGCGGTCAGTCTGCAGGACCGTGTGACCTCCATGTCCCTACGGTGCGGTCAGTCTGCGGCACCATGTGACCTGCGTGTCCCTACAGTACGGTCAGCCTGCAGGACCCTGGTGGCCTGCGTGTCCCTACAGTGCTGGGCACTATGCCACTGGTAATCAGACATGACCCGGTGCATTATGGGTAGCATGGTTGTAAGCTTTCTCTTTTTATTACTGTTTCTCTTTTTTCGTTGCCAACCGTCTTTCCAACATCAGCAGGGTCCCGCATGGTGGACAGGTTTCGGAGCTTCCAGACTAAGACAGACTAGGACGCAGTCCTGTTTCCCCAAATGACCCAGTGGAAAGTCTGTGGGTCCCAACAGAACACTGTCTGATGCAGTCCTGGGAGATGGGCCCTCCCCCAGGTTGGAAGCCACTCACAATAAGCAGAGGCCACAACTGGACGCAAGCAGAGCCGTCGTGGACGCAGTGCTGGACCGACAACCCGCTCTGTTGTACGCGGGGCACCGTGAGTCTGCACTGACCTGACGGAAACTAACAACGCGACCACCACGAGGCCAGGTTCCCGTGAACAATGACATCAACAAACTCGGCACGTGTCTGCAGGGGGAGTGTTTATTTTGAGCTGCACACGGGCGGACCACTCCGGAGGCTCCGGGGGGCGCCATGGTGGGCCCCCGTCCTGGGCCTTCACTTCCAGCGGCCTCCCACGCGGCCTTTCCCTGCCCCCTTCCGGCTGTAGGAGAAGAAGGCGTTTCAGGAGGGAGGGACCTCGCCAATCTCCAAAGAGAGCCCCAGACCCTCCATCAAAAAGGCTGTCCCCCAACAAATATCCAGTCTGCGGCCCAGAGCACACCACGGACAGAAGGTCCTCTCAGGGTCACAGATGGCAGGAGGCGCCAGGGGTGAGTGAGGGCAGGGTGTTCAGGCCAGGGCTGGGAACTCTTGGTGAGTACGGGTCACATCACGGAAGGAAGGGGTGGATGCAAGAGGGGCTGGAGAAGCTGGGGTGACAGAGACTGGACATGAGAGAGAGAGCGGCGGGGAGAGACACAGAGAGAGAGAGACACTGAATTCCAGGGAGATACTTTCAGCCCTGCAGGAAGAGATCACTTCTAGCAGAGACTCCAGGCCGCAGAGAACCAGAGAGCAGGAGGCAGAGAGGGGAGAGAGGGACAGAGAGGAAACAGTGAACAAGAAGGAAGGAAGGGGGACGGGGCAGACAGAGATAGACCTGAGACATACACACAGGGCCAGGGCGAGTGGCAGAGCCAGACGAGCAGAGAAAGGGCGGGAGACACAAGGAGAGACAGAGGAGAGGTCCCCAGAGTCGGAGAGAGAGGACAGGAGAGGGAGACAGAGACAAAAGAGGATGGGGAGAGAGAGACAAGGAGGGAGAGAGAGAGAGAGGGAGAGAGAGAGAGACAGAAAGGGGAGAGGGAGGGAGGGAGAAAGACGGGTAGGGAGAGAGAGACAGGGAGGGAGAGAGACACGGGGAGGGGGAGAGAGACACAGGGAGGGAGAGAGAGAGGCGGGGAGGGGAGAGACACGGGGAGGGGGAGAGACAGACGGGGAGGGAGAGAGACGGGAAGGGAGAGAGAGAGATGGGGAGGGAGAGAGACATGGGGAGGGAGAGAGACATGGGGAGGGAGAGAGACACGGGGAGGGAGAGAGAGACGGGAAGGAGATGGAGGGTGGGGAGAAGGAACACAGAGACGGCGGGGGACCGTCCTGAAAGGTCCGAGGCTCACGGGGGTGGGCAGGGGCAGGTGGGCTGGGCTGGGAGCCCGGCTCTCACTTACAACTTCTGGGCGTGGCTGATGCGGTTGTACAGCACGTTGATCTGTGGGGGCGGGAGACAGATGCTGGGACAGCCAGCAGGGACGGCGCCCTGCCCCTCGACGGCCCAGCCCACCCCGCCGCCCGCCCGGCGCAGTCGCCGTCACCTCATATTTCTGCTGCTTCATCTTCGCCATCAGGTCAAACTTCTCCGACTCCAGCTGGTGGATCCAGTCGGACAGCTCCTGGGCCTTATCCCTGGTGGGGCGAAAGGGCTGTGACGGAGGGGAGTCAGGCCATGCTCTGGACCCAGGGACCAGAGAGGTTGGGTGGTCTGTCCAAAGCCACACAGCAAGCCTGTGAGCTCAGCATTAGTGGCGCCATTTTGTTAACGTTTGAGACTCAATATTCAGAGTGACTTTAAGGGTTTTAAACTGTGTCTGCTTTCTCCACTCGCAGCCTGGAGGCTTGACATTTCCCCTGAGGGAGGACGATGTCATGGCTGAGAGCCCAGGCTCTGGAGTCACAGGGCCCTGGGTTCAAATCCCAGCTCTGCCACGCTCTGGTTTGTACACCATGACCAAGCGACGTGCTCTAGGATCCCATTTCCTTCTCTTAAAAATGAAGAAATAAAACTATGAAAGAGAAGGCCGGCTGCCTGCCCAGTGCCCCTTCTCCCGTTGTTTCTTACAGCAGAACCTTATGCACTAAGCCTGGCTGTAAAACGGTATTTCCCACTCCCCCTGCAGGTAGGGGTGACCGATGGGATGAAAGGGGGTCACTGGACGGGACTTCAAGGAAAACCTTCGTGGCTCAAACCTTGCAATTTCTTCCTGCTCCCTGGACAGTGAACATGATGGCTGGGGCTTCAGCAGCCACGCTGGGCCACGAGGTGGTGACCTTGTGGATGGAACGGGGCTAAAGGCAGTGGAGCAAGAAAACTAAAGTCTGGTTCTCTGGGTGACTGTGAGGCCTACGTGGACCACCTGCCTCCAGATCTCTTCCATGGGGAAACTACCGGCCTGGCTTATAGGCGGCTGTGTCGGACCTCAGTTATCACCATCCAGACTTGACCTTAACTGGTAGGATGTGTGGCTGACACAGTCCAGGTGTAGTACCTGGCACAGAGTGAACCGTCCGTGAAGCGGGCTGTGACTTCTCATTGTCCTTTTGCCAGATAATGGCTTTCAAATGTCCTGTCCTCTCTGAGGCATTTTATTTAAAAACTTGTAGCCCTCCTAAGACCCTAGTTTTTCTAATACATAAAATGTAGTTAACTTGAGATCCTCAAAACCGTTATGGGCCACAAATTATGAATGTGTGTGTGTAGCGGGCAACAGGGGAAGAGAAAAAGAAGCGGTAAGACGGACACTTCACTAGCTGTCCTCAGTCCGTTCCAGCCCCGGGTGACGTGTGTGGCATGTGCTCCACAAGGCAGAGGCCGGTTTTGCAGAGTCACTGCCCTTCTTCCGGGGCGGGCGGCGTGTCTGTTTACACACCGCACAGGGACTCGTCACTGCTCCGTGGTGGGTGCGCTGGAGTCAATCCCGACTCCCAGCAGCCCAGGGTGCCGCCGCCTAGAACTGCCCCGGAGGGTTTTCGGGGTGCAGACCAGGCCGCTGTCCTGCGCAGCCGCTGGGCGGGAGTCATTAGCAGCTGACAACTTGACCGCTGCACCACTAAGGGCTCCTTGTCACTGACTCCAGAACCCGCTTGGCTGTAGGGTCCGGCAGGTGATAGAGGAGGGAGTGAAGCGTGGGGCTCGTCCAAAGGCAGGAGATGTCGTTGATGCGGCGATGCCCCACGGAGACTCAGGACGGGCCCCTCCTTCAAGACGTGGGGAGCGGTTTTCAGCTGGCCCCTGCCCACCAGGACTTTCCCTTCACACCTGAGTTCGGTCCCACCCAGGACCAGTCAGCTGGGTCTCCTGATACGTTAACAGGGGCTGCTGATGGTCATTCCTTCAGGGACCTCATCCTCAACCCTGGCATTCCCTAGTCTAGGCCGTGGCTCGTGAAGTCAGTACCTTCAAGCACTGCAGAGGGGACACAGGGATGCTGTGTTCTGGCCACTGCGCCACGTACCAGCTGGGTGGCCCCGGGCATGCTACTTCAGCTCTCTGAGCCTCACTTTCCTTGGGGAAAACCCTATGGGCACAGTTTTACTCAGACCCGAGGAGACGCCATGAGTCAGAGCAGACACCACAGCGACTGGTTAGTACCAGTGACACTCCACACAAGAGGCAACAGAGGCCCAGAGAGGGAGAGCCGGTGGCCCAAAGTCACACAGCACCCGGGCTCAGACCCGGGGCTTGTGCCCCACAGGGCTGGGTGTGTGTCCTGCAGCGTTCTGGCTGCCCCAGGGGCTGGCCCCTCATCGCCCCATGGCTCCCGGCCCGGCGCCCCCAGGCCACCTACCGGAGCTGGTCTTCGCCCAGGTGGTCGATGTTCAGGGGCTTCTTACGCTCAGACAGGATCCGCTGTTTCATCTCCCGCCCGGTCTGGCGCTTACCCCGCTTCTGCTCAGCCTGAGGACGGGGCGGGGAGACCCTGAAACCTGAGCATGGGGTGTCTGGATGCTCTTCACTCAGGATGCTGGGGTCTGCACTCACGGCCTTCCTCCCTCAGACCCGGGAGCCCAGCGCCCCAACACTCCTCCCTCAGACCCCAGGCCAAGGCGCCCATCGTCTTCCAACCAGCATAAACCAGAAGTCTGGGCCCTCAACTCCCTCCCTCCCTGGGAACCCAGGCCTCAGACTCCCACTGGCTGAACTCACCTTGACCAGGTAACCCCCAAAATGGGCCCCCATGTTGGACAGGACCTTCTTCTTCTTGGCATCGTCCTCTGCTCGTTTCTTGGCCTCCTCTTCTTCCTTCCGCATCTTCTCCTCCTGTGGGAAAGAAAGAGTTAACTCAGGAAGCCAGGGATGGGGGTGCCTTGGATGGGGGATGGGGGACAGGCGCTCACTGCAATGCTGCTGGCCAGTCTCCAGATACCAGAACTAATACCCATACTGGAACCTTCTGGAACTGGCAGACACGCCAGAGGTCTGGCCTGGCTCTTCTGCCGGCTATGTGACCTCCTGCAAGTCCCCTCCCCTCTCTGGGCCTTAATATACCCTTCAGCAAAAATTAAGCTGTAGGAGTGGGGGAGGGGTGTTCTTGGTTCTTCCAGGTCCCTCCAACCTGAAATGGCCAATTGTGAACTTTGCTGTGTGACCTCAGTTGAGATACTCATCCTCTCTGGGCCTCCCTCTCCCATCCACGAGCTAACAATGACTGTCCTCATTGAGGGGCAAGGCGGGTACCAGGTGATGGAAGGAGACTCGGGGCACTAAGGAGGCTGATGGTCTGGAGACTGGGATGTCTAGTGGGCATCACCACGTTCCAGAAACTCTGCATCAGAAGTTTCGGAAACAGTGGCTGTTCCAGCCGAACTCCCTACCCATGGGGTGCCGGGGTCCGCACCGGCTCGGTACGCACAGCACGTCCTGCCTGCGTCCGTTTCCTATTGCTGCTGTAGTCTGCAAGTGTCGTGGCTTCAAGCCACACAAACTCATGGTCCCACGGGGGAAGCCATCATAAATGAGTCCTAGGGGGTAACACCAAGTAGCAGGGCTGTGGTCCTTTCGGAGACTCAAGAAGAGATCTGTTTTCCTGCCATTTCCAGCTTCCAGGGCCACCTAACACTTCAAAGAGTTAAAAAAAAGAAGAAGAAATAAAGGCCAGGTGTCACTCTGAGGACTAAGGTGTGCCTGAGCCACACCGCGGTATTTTCAGCCACTGAGATGCATGCGGGAGGTGGCAGTGAGTAAGGAGGACGAGGAAGCATGGATGCCTTCGAGTGATGGTGCTGGTGGGCACGTCCCATAGCCCAGGGCCTCGCAGAGGAACGGACAAATGTCGCGGAAGTACAGCCGGAGGCTCCTGACGAGCGAGAAGGGCAAGGCTTTGTCTCACGTAGTGGTATCCGGAGGGACCGGTGCCTGGGCAAGGCCATCCTGCTTGGTGAAGCTGGGGGACGATGAGGGGAAGGCAGGCCTTCTACAAGAAGGGCTGACACGGTGGCTGCAACGATGGGCTCAGGCACAGCGAGGACTGTGGGCGTGGTGCAGGGCCGGGCGGCGATTCGTCCCGGTTTCTGAGTCGGAGCCGCGCGATGCGCGTAACAGCAACTCGAGAGGGCTCCTGCATTCCCTGCCTCGTCCTCTCGTCCTCCGCCTTCAAGGCCACCAGCGGAGCCTCTCCGAGATTCTCTCCGCCTCTCCCCTCCCGCCTCGCTCTTACGAGGACCACAGTGATTCCACTGCGCCAGCCCCGAGCTCATGTCTCAGGGCCCTTCACTTGAGCCCATGGGCAAATCCCTCTTGCCCTCTAAGGCCCCGTATCGGCGGGTCCCAGCGATTAGGATGTGGGCATCTCTGGGGGGATCTCTAAGACAGCCACCACACCACCCTATTCCGAGGCTTTCAGAGTGGGAGACACTCGGACGGGGATCAGTGCAGGAGGTCCTGGACAGAGTGGGAGAACAACGTGGAACAGAAATTAGAAGCACAAAAAAAGACCAGGATCACTGGTCTGATAGATCCTGATGAGACCCCCAAAACTGTGGCCCCTAGTCACCCTTCAGGCCTGGAACTGGACTCACTCCTGCGGCTTCAGGCCAAACAACAGACAGGCCTACAGGGTGAACATTTCCATCAGGTAGGTACACTCCTCGGAGCGATCAGTCCTGGGAGATCAGGGCAGTGTTTGCTCAGGGAGACGGCTGGGGGCCAGGAGTGCATGGAGGGAAGGACACCGGGAAGAGGGAACTACAGGGAGGAAGCGGGGAGAGAGCTGTTACACTGTGGGGAACTGCAGTCGATGTCTTGAAACAAAATGTGTATGAACTGCTGTGTGGAAAATGAACTTGCTCTGTAAAGTTTAACCTAAATCACAATAAAAATTGAAAAAAAGAGGGGGAAGTAAGCTGATAAGAGGGGCCTAGTACCATGAAGAAAGAAGAGCCGCGAGCAGAGGGCATCCTTTGGGCCCTGGGTCCCTGTGCTGGGAGCCTCCTAGACCCAGGGGAAGACCGATGCCAAGACACACGGAGATCTCCACGGGACACTGGGCCACAGATGCTGAGCGGAGACAGACCTTTGTCCTGACCCGTGAGCCAACGGAGCGAGCAAGTCTTTGTCTGGAGTTGGCGCCTGAGTCTTTGGGCTGCCAACCAGAATGGAAAGAATGAGAACAATGACACATGCTGGGAAACGTGTGACCACTATCACTGAGTAATCAATACTCGTATGGAAATCGCTAAATGAGAACCAATTTGCTGTGTCAACTTTCACCTTAAATAATTAGATATTATACAATTAATTATTATTCAAAAGACAGGTTAAGCCAGAGTCATTGGCCGCCATCTTGCTATCACCAAGAGGAAAGCCTGAGTGAGAATGGGGTGTCCACTGGTGTGACCAACATATCGGGACACGAGATTTTCAGCGCCCAGAACGGGACCATCCAGGGAGAAAGAGAACAAGCTGTTCACCCTGGTGTCCAGAGGAAGACGGACAGAGAGCCGGGAACAGACAAGCTGGGTCGTTGTGGTCTTGGTTGAGTCCGTGGATCCAGCCATACTTGAGGCAACCCAAGTCCTGAACTTTTAATTACTACATGAGTCAACACAACTTTGTTGTTTGTTTGACTAACCCATTTAGATTGGGATTTATGTCTCTTCCAACAGAAAGATTCTTAACTGACAGAGAATGGGCGCTTTCTCCAGATCACAGAGAAATTCACAAATGGAAAACACAGCATCCGTAGGGCCATGGCCACAGGGGACATCAAGTTCAATGAACATCACATCCGAGAACACTGTTCTGCATCCGACTTTGGTGGGTGGTGACTGGGCTCTTGGGGGCTTGTGAGAGGCCATCTAAGATGCAACAGTTGGTCTCTCCTTGTCCACGGCCAAGAAGAGTGAAGAAAATTGAAGACACATGGCAAAAATTAGTCCAAGGGACTAGTGGACCATGGAAACCTCAGCCTCTGCGGCCCTGAGACCAGAAGAACAAGATGGTGTCTGGGTACTGCTGCCAACCACTCAGAAAGGGATCGAAATAGGAGATCCTGGATGAGCAGGAGAAAATGGAACAAAACTCAAATTTATAAAAAAGACCAGGTTCACTGGTCTGATAAAGCCTGGTGAACCCCCAGACCATGACACCGAGTCACCCTTCACGCCTGGAACTGAACTCACTCTGTGGGTTAATCCAGCCCATTATTAGCCAGGCCTACTAGCTTGAGGTTGTCAAAGACTTCACATTGCTTGGTTCTACAATCAACACCAATGGAAGCAGAAGTCAGGACATTAGATGACTTATAGCACTGGGCAAGGTGGCTGCAAAGGAACTGTTTCCGGTGCTGAGGAGCAAGGATGTCTCCTTGAGGACTAAGGTGCCCCTGACACAAGCCATAGTATTTTCACTCGCCTCGTATGCATGTGGGAGCTGGACAATGAATAAGGAAGACCGAAGAAGAGTTGATGCTTTTGAGTTGTGGTGCTGGCGAAGAATGCTGAAAGTACCATGGACTGCTAAAAGAACTAACAGATCTGTCCTGGAGGAAGTGCAGCCGTCATGCTCCTTGGAAGTGAGAATGGCCAGACTTCGTGTCATCTACTTTGGTCACGTTGTCAGAAGGGACCATTACCTGGAGAAGGCTGTCATGCTTGGTAAAGTGGAGGGTCAACCAAAGAGGGGAAGGCCCTCAATGAGATGGATTGACGCAGTGGCTGTGAGGATGGGCTCAGGTATAGCAGGGATCATGGAGCTGGTGTGGGACCGGGCGGCGTTCCGTTCTGCTGTGCATGGGGTCGCTGTGAGTCGGAAACGACTCCACGGGACCTAACAACAACTGGGTGAACATTCCCACCAGGGGGGTGCAGTCCTCAGAGCCGAGCCGGGGGGACCAGCGCGCAGCATTTGCACAGGGGCTGACTCAGAGGACAGGACGCACAGGCAAGAAGGACCCAGGGCAGAGGTAAGCACCTCGAGGACGTGGGAGGAGAGCTGGCACACCGTGGGGGCTGCATCAGTCACAAAACGGAGGTGCATGAAGTGTTGCATGCAAAACAAGCTGCTGTCAGCTTCCACCCAAATCACAATTTGACAAAAAGAAAACCGCAGAGCAGCCAGCGAGCGAAGGTGGCAGCGTCGGGGCTCCCGGGGGGCTGGGAGGGGGTACCCACCGCCAGCTTGGCCTGCCGTTCCCGCTCCTTCTCGGTCCGGAAGCGTTGCTGCTCGGCTCTCTCGGCTCGGCGGCGCTCCTGGAGGCGAGAAGTGAGCGAGTGGTCCCCGGGCGCCACGCCCCAGCGCAGGCGCAGAGAGGCGGTGAGCGGGGTGGGTGTGGCCGCGCGCTGGGGGGCACTGGGAGCCTAACCCCGCCCACCGTCCTCCCTGGCTCCCTAGGCCCCAGAAGTGGAGACGGGGTGAGGAGAGAAGGCGGGACCCGAGTCCCCGACTCACAATGCGCTCCTTCAGCGCCACCAGCTCCTCCTCCTCTTTCTTCCGCTGCTCGAAGTGCACGTCGATGAGCGTCTGCAACTCCAGCAGGTCCTTCTCCATGCGCTTCCGGTGGATGTCCTGCCGGCAGAACCGGGAGCCCGGTGACGCCCAGAGCAGTGCCCGGGCCCGCGGAAGGGGGCGTTCTCAGACATGCCAGCGCGCCCTGGGCGTCAGGGGGCGCTCTTCGCAGCAAGAATGAACGGGCTTCCACGCTCACTTGCCAGCAGGGGGCAGTAAGGCGGGTGGTTCTGACACCAGGAAACTCTTCAGATGCCCCCCCCAAGGGAGGGCGTTCAGCGACCTAATTCATACATTCATTGCCTGGGGGTGCGATGCTTTTTACTTACATCGAAGTCCACGCGTTCCCCTTCTGGGATCTTTGGGGGGATCAGTGGGGGCACCACAGGACGACTGGGTGGGCAGAGGGAGAGAAAGCACGTGAGTTGTCTGACCTCCCTGCTCAGATCCCGCGCTGCATTATCCAGTAGGGCAGCCACAAGCCCTGTGTGGCTTCTGAGCACCCCAATGCCTCTAACACTCTGCTGTCCATTCCATTCGGGTTCTTAGGGAGTGACCCACAGCGCCCCCAGAGGACAGAGTAGAACTGCCCACAGGGTCTCCAAGGCTGTCAATCTTCACAGAAGCAAAGCCCAAACCACACCCACTGCCGTGGAGTCCATTCTGACCCACAGCGCCCCTAGAGGACAGAGTGGAACTGCCCACAGGGTCTCCAAGGCTGTCAATCTTCACAGAAGCAAAGCCCAAACCACACCCACTGCCCTGGACTCCATTCTGACCCACAGCGCCCCTAGAGGACAGAGTGGAATTGCCCACAGGGTCTCCACGGCTGTCAGTCTTCATGGAAAGACACTGCCTCATCTTTCTCCCAAGGAGTGGCTGGTGGGTTTGAACTGCAGATCTTTTGGTTGACAGCCAAGTGCTTTGCTTCTGTGAAGACTGACAGCCTTGGAAACCCTGTGGGGCAGTTCCACTCTGTCTTCTAGGGGCTGTGAGTTGTAACAGACTCATGGGCAATGGGTTTGGTTTTCAGTTTGAAGCGGTCTGATGAGGTCTCACCGCCTCAGCTGACCTGCCAATCTTAGGATCTTCACCATCAGAATGACCAGTGTCTGCCTGGGTTCCCAGAAAGACCAGACTATATCCAACCACCAGACTTCGTTCCCAGCCCCGTCTGCCTAGACTGCCCTTTCTAACCTCCTTTAGCTAGGGATGCCTCATCCCTCCAGACTCAACTAGCATCTCCTCCAGGAAGCCTTCCTGGATTGCCTAGGGCAAATCTATCGGGATTTCCATGGGCTCTGGTACTCTGGGCTAACAGCTCTACTCGTCACTGTCTCAGGGTCAGTGCCACCAAAGAGGGATGGGTGACAGGCTCTGCCTGGCCAAACCCAGAGGGAAGCTCGCAGACGGGGGCGGGATGGAGGGGCGCTGGCCGCCTCCTCTTTGTTCCAGTCCCTGACTCTCCTTCCGTCTTTTCCCCCCACTGTGTCTCCGCAGTGGGGGGAATCTTTAGGATGCCATGACCTGGAATCCCAGCACAGGGTCTCACCTGGGTTTGGGGCGTTCCTCTTCTGGTGATGGGGGTGGGGAATACAAAAAGATAATTAGCAGAAGTTCACAGTGGGGGTGGCGCCTGGCACCCCTTGGAGAACACTCCCCCAACCTCAGCCCCCTAGGGTCCGTTGCCCTCCCGGCCCTGTCAGGAAGGGGTAGGGGGGAAAAAGGGGAGGAGGCAAGTCAGGGTGGCCATTGGAAGAGCGACACACGCATGATATACATTCAGAACTGGTGTGGGGGGTCGTCTCCTCCCTCCTTTCTGGGCACCCAGGAGTCCAAACCCCAAACCCTCCACCACCTACACCCAGAGCGCCTGCCCTCCTCCATGGAGACCCAGCAGTGCGAGACCTCAGCCTTTACTTCTTCAAGGACCCAGGGGTTCTGTCTCCAGCAGCTACCCCCTCAGGAAACATGAGTCCCCATGCCCACTTGTTAACTCTTCCGCAACCCTAGAATCCAGGCCCCAACCTTTGAATGTATATGGGGAACAAGTATCACACACAGGGTCAGGGGCGAAGATGAGGAGGGATGGCGTGGCGCCTCTCCGCAAACATCCAACCCTTCTTTAAATACTCCTCCAGCTAGGGGAGGAAGGTTTGGGTGTCGGTCCCTTTAAGAAGGAAGGGAAAGGGTTAAAGCCAGCGCCAGGCAATTTCCCTTCGCGGCCACAAGAGGGCGCGGGGGCTCTCTGGGGCTTAAAGGACCGGGTCCAGGGCGGGTGCAGGCGGGAAGTGGCAGTCAGGGCCCGATGACATCGGGGGGTCTCCTCGGGCCCCCGAGATCGGTCTCGGGAAGCGAAGCGGTCGCGGTTACCTCGCTCGGCCGCAGGCTCCGGCTCCTCGGGGGCTGGGGAGGGGGCAGGCGGAGAAGCGAGGATTTGGGAGGCGGGGAGGGGGCGAGGGGCAGGGGCGGCCACGCCGGATGCAGGAGGGGAGAGAAGGCAGAGAGGGAGAGGCTGTTAATGGGACTGGAGACCCCCGGGAGCGCCCACCCCAGGCCCAGCCACCGCCCTGGCCCCCAGCGTCCCCACCCCCACCCAGCCCCAGACCCCCAGAGCCCCGGACCCCGCGTCCAGCTCCAGACCTGCGGGATCCAACACCTCACCTTCATCCTCTTCAGCAGCCTCTTCTTCTGCAAGGGGCGTGAGGACAGGGAAGGGGAGGCTTAGGGACTCCAGGATCCCAGGTTAGCCCCCCAAAACCAAACCCACTGCCATGTACTCGTGCCCCTCACAGCGCCCCTAG